TTTTTAGTAGAGACGGGGTCTCGCTCTTGCTCAGACTGGTTTCGAACTCCTGAGCTCAAACAATCCACCCGCCTCGGCCTCCCAGAGAGCTCGGATTACAGGCGTGAGCCACCGCGCCCGGCCTAAATTCTAATTTTTTGAACTAATACATACATATGGCTAAAAAAAATTAAATCAAACAGTAAAGAAGTCATTATAATGAAAAGCAATTGGTTCTCTGCCCACCCTTGCTATTTGTAAGACTTAAAAGTTCAGGTGGTTATTTAATACATCACTAGTGATTTGCTGATGGGATATTTGTATTTTCAACAGCTATTTTAGTGCCTATCACGTGCTAAAATTTAGCTTATTTGTACTCTAATGTTGCCATCTTCTTCCTAATCACTCTATTAGTTACCTTTGCAGCTATAGATATACCTTTAAAATCTTGTTCCACAATTACAGGCAATATATCCTGTAAGTCAGAGATATTAGCATCTTTATGTGTCCTTGTACCTCTTGTCTTCCTTTTACTGCTCAATTGCTGTCATCTATTCATTCTAAGTATCAAAGTTAATGATTCTCCTGTACATACTGAGCTGAGAACCACAATATAAAATATGTGTGTTAGGAGTAAAAGAATAAAGAATGGAAGGCCTTAGACAGAGGTGAAATATTACAAAAGTGGAATGGTTCCAAGAGATGTAAGGTCCAGGATATGTCCAAAGAAGTAGATGGCTGACGAAGAGTAGAAACAAAGGTCATTAGAGTTAAGGAATAAGAAGGCCAAGGTAGTAAAAAGAGACATACAGATGGACCTTTGAACTCATCCAAAATAAGGTCAGGACATAAGGCAATGACAATGAGACAGGGAATGCTAGAGAGCAACTAGGAGGTCAGCAGATAAGAGATTAGAATAGGTGAGCATAAGTTTCAAAGGAACGGGAATTTTTACATGAGAATAGAAAAATCCTATCTGGATCCCACTTTTAAAGTATCCCCCACCACCCCATAGTAGTATAGGGATAGGTCCTGTAATTGGTTTAAATACCTGTTATTGTGACTCCCAGAGATGTCCTATTTTAATCCCATGTACCCAAACCATGGTATGGGAGTCTGACAATGATCAGGGAGCAGGATGTTCATTCCTGAATGGACCGTGATGTACCCTCTAACTCACTTGTCTAAATCTAAGACTGAAGAGGCATACCTGCTTCAGTTGAGGCAATGGCCAGCACACATCCAGACTAACATAGTCAGAGCTGTTCCAACTCATATATTTAAGGCTTCTAGAAGAGCCACTGTCACCCTCGCTTAAATATAATACACAACTGTGCACTTCTCAGATGATTTTGGGGTCTGGAAGCTTATACATCTCTCTATCCTAGGTAACACTGAAGATCTCTTTGCCACGTATCTGGACTTTGCTGACTTGCCTCTGTATTCTTAAATAAACTCTTTGATTTACCCAAGTGATGTCTACATCAGGTCTGTAAGCTCATTATTAACAGATTCACCACTTAGGAATCCTGTATCTGATTGAATTTTGATTATCACATCCTGTTCTTATAAAATTTTTAAATGTGTATAAATTAGAAAACAGAGGAAGAAGTTAGATTTTCAGTTCATGTTTATATTTACCTTCACTTTCAGATATATAATCAATCTTTCCAAGGCTGAGTCCTTAAGGCCTTTCAACATTTCCCTCTATTTCAAGTTAAGAATCCTGGCCCTTGATCTATTTTAGGTGTCATGACTTATCAAAAATCTTTGGCATTGGTCTGAGGCAGCCATGACAATCTCTCCCATCAGCAGTGGTTTACAGCTTACAAGTAAGTCACTTTCACAATCCCTACCTTCATTTGATTCTTACAACACTCAATTCAGCACAGCAGATATTATTTCCATTTAAAAGAGGAGTTTTAGTTTTCCAAAGTCACAAAGAAAGAAAAGAGAGCTGCTACTTCACCTGGGGCTTTCTGACTTCAAATCCAGTTACCTCCCTACTCATCACGCCATCTCTCATCACATTTGGCAACTAGTACTTAGCCTTTGTATTCATATAAGAACATCTTATCCAACAGATTACTTGCCTCAAGGCAGTTTTACCATTCATAACAAATAGTTATTATGAAAGGATTCAGTCCCTGGCACTATTACCAGTAATGATCTCTTTGGTAATAAACAGCATGTCTTAAATCATCACTAGTTATGTGTTAATTGCTCATTACCTAAATATGATTGTTTTGCTAGCTAATAGGTTATGATGAAAAATTACTCACCTGATTCTCATTTTCTTTTTTTGCTTCATGTTTAAGGTGGGCTTTTAAGGCTTTTAACAACTTGTCTGCCTGCAAAAATCAAATAAACAGGGAAGATACATTGAACATTTTCTGTTTTTGTATTCAGATGTACTCTTGTCAGACTGTAGGTCTAGAACTATGACCTAGATAAACTGGTCCTTGTCCTAAGGGATTTCATGCCTGAGTGGGAAAGTCAGACAAGGAGAGAGGCAATTGCAATACAGTGGGGTAAGTACCCAAGGCAGGAGGCTCAGGCTATGAGAGAACGTAGGTGGGCTTGGCCCCAGGCCAGTTCTCAGATAAAGATGTGTTGTCTCTAGCTGCTGAGATCTGAAAAATGAAGGAGAGTGAGTCAGAAATAGAGAAAAGGGTAGAGAAATAGCATAGCAAGGCAATGCCAATGGTGAAGTTTGAGGAACTTAAGTTCAGTGCAGCTGGAGCATGGAGCTATTGGAAGGAATGGTGAAAAATAATGTTGGGAAAGTGGGCAGGGGCCTGACCTTGCCAGGCCTTGCAAACCTCTTAAGAGTGTGAACTTTACTCTTAGGGAAAAGGGCAGTCTCTGAGGAGTTTGCAGCAGGGCTGTGGGTGACCAGTTTCAGATTACTCAGAATGATCACTCTGGTTTCACAATGTGCAGGATGCATTCAATGGGGATAAGATTAAAGACAGGGAAACAGCCAGGAGGCTGTCGTAGGAAAGCAGAGATGCTGTGGCCTGAAGTAGAACAGGGCTAAGGCAGCATGGATGGAGTCAAAACCTTCTTAGGAAGTAAAATTAGTACAAACGTGGGAATTGAAGAATAGGGAAACTTTGTAATGCCCAGGTTTCTGGCTTGGGCAGCTGGTGGGACATGGTGGGGGTCCCTAAGATGTGGAATGCAAAAGGTCCCTGGTGGGAAGGGAACTCCTAGCTTCTCTTCCCATCTTGGGAAACCTTCCTTTCTTGTTCTTTCTTGAAAGAGGAATATTGATCTGATTGGTTACATTTTCCTGTGCTTTAAAAGGTCAAGTATATTGGTTGAGCTCTCTTTTCTTCCTCTTCCGTCCAGCCATGCACTTGAGGGCCAGAGACATCCTTTTCAAGGTGGGCCCGCCACTGGGCTTGGCTCTTTTCTTCTCACAACTTTTTTTATTAGTCATGTGCCCGGTAAAGAATGGCAGAGATCTTGATACTTGGTTTGGGCTTTAGGGGACAGGAGAGGTTTTGCTTAGGGTGTGAGCCTAAGCCACATCCTACAGCCCACTTTATCAGAATTTTCTGTATAACAACAGGTACCATCTCAGCTAGTAATAAAGTGGTACCTTATTTCCTACTTGTTCCTTGAACTGCTCTTGAGGGTCTTCTCTGGGAAAGAGGTGATTGGCAAGGCAGAATTCAGGCATCCTTGATCATTCTGACTCTAATACCTTCTTAACATACCATCAGAATGTCACCAAACATGCAAGAATGCTGAAGTGAGGTACCTGTGGCAGAATCAAGTAAGGACATTTAGCAGGTTAAATGATCTGGGCTGATACTCAAGAGTTGTGCTGAAGGTAGAGATGTTAGTTATCAGCACGTATTCATGCATTCCTTTGACAGCATTTATTGTGCTTCCAGGCACTAGCGAAGACAGTGGTAAACAAAACAGACAAGGTGTCTGCCCTCCAGGAGCTTCTAGTGGTGGACTAGTTGGAAAACAACCTATTAACCAAGTAAGCTAGAAATTAATGCTATGACATCAGGTGCTATAAAGCAAAAATACAACTGGGTGACTGGGGTAGGAGGGGGTGCTATCTGAGTTAGGATGGTCAGAAAAGGCCTCTCCGAGGTGGTGGCGTGAGCTGAGATGTGAATGAGGAAAGGGGCAGCAGGTGAAGTTGTGGGGAAAGAGCACTCCAAGCAGAGGGGACAACAAGCAGAGAGGCCCTGAGATGGACTGATGAGTCAAGGAACAGAAACAGCCGCTGTGGCTGGAGCCTGGAGAACACAGGTGCATGGAGGGCAGGGAGATCAGAGAGGTGACTGAAAGCTGGGTCAAGTAGATTTATAGGCCACTGCAAGGAGTATGGATTTCTTCCCCCTAATTTATTAGAAAAATATCAGGCCTATAGAAAAGTCAAAATAATGTAATAAACACTCGTACTCTCCACCTAGATTTGACAATCATTGTCTTGTATTTGCTCACTGTATTAATATATATTTCTTGCCAAACTATGTGAAAGTTCTAGACATCATGATATTTTACCACTAAATACATGAACCACATCTAAAGATAATGGGAGATTCTCCTATATAACCTCTAATGCATTATTGTACCTATGAAAGTAATAATTTCCTAATATTACCTAATACATAGCCCATAATGAAATTTCCTTGTCTCCAATTTTAACTGTTTTATTTAAAAAAAATTTCCCTCCAAATCAGGATCAAACCAAGCTTCTCTCATTACATTTGGAAGAGTTTAGATTTTATTTTAGATGTGAAAGAAGACATTGGAGGGCACTGAGCAGAAAAATGACATGTTCTATGTTCTAAATATCACTCTGACTACCAAGAGAATACCATTAGGAGGCAAGAGTAGAGGCAGCAAGCCCCGTATGGAGACTGAAGCAGTGGTCAAGAGATGAGAGTGCTAAGGCCCAGGTTTGCAGCACTGGGCATGGTACCCAGAGGTCAGTTTCACGTGTACTCGGGAGAAAGTGCCAAGAAGGATGAGCGGGTGTGAGCAGGGAAGTGAGGAATCAAGGATGATCCAAAGTGGGCCTGAATCATATACTGAGATGGAGAAGAGATCGTCAGTGTTTGGAACTCACCATGCTGTCAAAGCAGCAGCTCAGAGGAGAGCGCCTACTGGAGATGTGGGTTTGGGAGGCATTAGCCTCTTGATGAATTTAAAGTTATGGGAGTAGATGAGATCACTAAGGGAGAGAGCACAGTTGGAGAAAAGGCCAAGGAACACTGCTAAGCATTCCACATTTAGAGATCTGGCAGAGGAAGAAGCAGCCAAGTAGACTAGAAAGAAATGCTAGTGAGACAGGAGGGAGTGAAATATCAAAGAAATCTAGACAGAAAGTGGTTGGAGCAGACAGGAGTGTTCAATCATGCCAAATGCTACTGATAGGCAAGGGTAAGGATAGAGATGGACCACAAGCTTTGTAAGATGGTGGCCTCAACAAGAGCAATTTCAGTAGAAAAGACTAGGGAAATGGGGCAATAGATGGAAGACCATGGGTCAGGAGAGGATTTTTGATTTCTTTTTTTTTTTTTTAAAGATGAGTGATATTAAAACATGACTGCATGCTTTATGGCAATGAGCCAGCAGAGTGGGAGAAACTGATGCAGGAGAGCCGATCTCATTGCAAGAATGTAGTCCTAGTGGAGGCAAGAGGGCCCAGGATTCTCAGCATAAATGGAAAGGTTGCCCTTAGATACAGCCTCTTACTATAATGGGTGGGAAGGAAGAGTACTTGGTGCAGGTGCAGACCAGCTAGAGGGTTTGGTGATGGAAGGATGAGGTAGTTTTCAGCTGATTGTTTCAATTTTTTCATGACCTATGAGGAAAAGTCATCAAGGGAGGAAAGGGAGCCAAGTTGAGTAGAGAAGATAGGAAATAGTTATCCTCAAAAATGGGAAAGTTAATGACTAACAAGAAAATGTTGGAGGATCATATGACCATTTTAAGATTTAGAGTCATATATTTAAAATAGGTTCAGTCAACAAAGTTAGGTGGTTTCTCTAGCCAGTCAGCTGCATAGCTTTACGCAAGGATTATGCACAGCTGAGTTTTATTAGGCCTGGGCTTTGCCAGGTTGAGTACAGGGAGAAGCAAGGAAGTGGCAATAGTGCCAGTCTTTGTATTATAATTTAAGCTTGCAATAAGGGAAATGAGGGCATGAAAGAGGAAAGGGCCAGTGGCCCCACAATAAATATTATAACTGACTCCCTCATTTTGTTTTACCATCAAGAGAAGTGTCTCAAAAGAAAGAGCTAATGTTTTCTCTTTTAAATTTATTTATTTATTTTGAGACAGGTTCTCACTCTCTTGCCAGGGCTAAAGTGCAGTGGCATCATCATCATAGCTCACTGTAACCTCAAACGATCCTCCTGCCTCAGCCTCAGCTTCTTTTCTTTCTTCTTTTTTTTTGTCCCCCTTTTAAAAGACAGGTGTCTCCCTGTGTTGCTCAGCCTGGTCTTGAACTCCTGGCCTGCCTCGGCCTCTGAAAGTGCTAGGATTACAGGCATAAGCCACCTTGCCCAGCCTAAATTTAACTTTAACAATATCATACGGGTGGAATTTATTTAAATTGTATTTTGTTGGGCAGGCATGGTGGCTCATGCCTGTAATCCCAGCACTTTGGGAGCCTGAGACACCCCCCTCCTCTACAAAAACAAACAAACAAACAAAAAAGCAGGGTGTGTTGGCAGGCACCTATAGTCCCACCTCCTCAGGAGGCTGAGGCTGGAGGATCTCTGAAACCCAGGAGCTCAAGGCTACAGTTAGCTGAGACTGCCCAGCTACACTCCAGCATGGGCAACAGAGTGAGACCCCATCTCTTAAAAAAAAAAAAAAAAATCGTGTTAAGTTTTAATCAAATTTTGATAATTTCTCAGAGCAATTTATTAAGTTTTTTGCTATGTTCTTGGAATTTAAACAGGCAATTGATTTAATGAGCTTGAGCTGTACCAACAGTAAATAATTTAAAACATCTTATTACAGAAAATTTCAAACATACACAAAAGTAGAGAGAATAGTGTAAGGAACCCCCATGGATCTATTACCAATTTCAATAATTATCAACATTCTACTGTTCTTCCTTCTAGTTCCCCCCTCTTTTCTTGGAGTATTTTACAGCAAATTTATAGGCACTATAACATTTCTCTTATAAATACTTGATATATATTACCAAGAGATAAGGACTTTTAAAAAAAAGTTAACATAACCATTATCATACCCAACAAAGTAAATAATACCTTTTACACTAGACCAAGTTTAATTTTCCTCAGTGGGCTCAAAAGTGTCTTTGGTGGGTTATAATAAAGCCTCATATGGTCAAGTTCGCCTGAGAAATAGTACATTCCAACAAATATTTATCTACACCTACTATATGACAGATATTGCTAGGCAGGCAGTGGGTTCTGTAGTGAAAAGACATACTGTATTACCCCACAGCTATGAAAACTGATTAATTGGCTACCCCAGATCAAGTGCCTCAAGAGACTATGATAGGTAGGACTTTGGGGAAAAAAATCTAACTTGCTGGAGCTTTTCAGAGATCCAAATAGTTGTGGTGCCTTAACGTTAGCCAGAGCTCTGAACTCAGGTGAGAAACCTCCACGAAACTCTTGCCAACCTAACTACCTTCTGGTGCATTATTCTAACACTGCCAAGAAGAAACTGTAAATAGCTGTGAGTAATTATTCAGCATCTCCTACATAAAATGTACTGCAGTTAGTGCTGTGAAGACTCCCAAGTTGGATGGATGAAATCCCTGTTCAAAGAACTTTACTTTTAGTAGAGAAGATAACATACATACAGGATTGCAAGGTGAAACCTGGCAGGTGCTCAAATATAGTACTTGAAAATAAACTGCTTTAAAATCACAGATCGCTTCTTGGCTAAGATCAAGTGTAGTATCTGTTCTTATCAGTTTAAAAGCCCAGAGGGCTCCTGGGATTACTGGAGCAGTAGACATGTGGCCAAGGGAATGAAGAGCAGGGGACCAGGAGCCAAGTCAGTGATGACATTTTGTTTAGACCGTGAAGGGTAATTGAAAATTATCCATGCAGATAAAGGAGGAGAGAAAAGGGGATCTGAGGCCAAAGGGTCAAAATGAGCAATGGCACAAAAATGGACAAAAGTGCCAAGTGTTCAGGGATGCAGCCTTGGATAAAAGATTTCATTCATTCAGCAAAAATCCTAAAGTATTTTAAACTAAGAAATTAAGGCTTTGTTCATGAAGTATTAGGGAGCTATTAACCACTATAGCCCAAAAATATCCCAAAGGACACTCCCCAACAGGTACCTGAGCCTGAATTATTTTGTTTAAATCATTCGAAAACATTTATGATGACTGATACAGGCATTCATTCAGTGTAACTGTCACAGCCTGCACGACAAATATCCAGAGGACACATTAGTATTATGTGGGAAATATCAGCTAGAATATATAAAACTCCAATCCCATATTGAAACCCCACAGTTTCCCCTAACATCTTGCAGCCTCAGAGTCAAAGACCTTAGCGGTTTTGAAAGAGACCGCCACAACAGAGATCAATAAATAAACGCTTATGCTAGATCAAGGTCGAGTTATAAAAATTTATGCCCTGGGGGTGGCCCCCTAAAAGTCATTTTTTCTGTTAGGTCCCTCAGTAAAATATCAAGAGATTACGGGCACTATTACAATTTACCGAAGTGTTATTGTTTGGAGTTTTCCAGAAGCTGAGTCAATTATTTGTTCAACTGCCTTAAAATTAACCGGCATTTCTTGGGCTTTTGGGGCCTGCGTTTCGTAATCAATACCCTGAGAAGTATCGTAGAGTACTTCCAAAAAACCCAAACCAATCAACCCTTTCGGAGCAGAGGCCTATGTGAGCCCCTAGAAGAGTCAGCCTCAAAGGAGGTGAAAACTTTGGCTCCTCTTCCGTTTCGCAGAGTTCTAACTGGGACCACCGTGAACCAAATCTACCGGCGGGGACAGCTACCTCAGCCCGCTCAGTCCCTGCGCTCAGTCCCTGCGGAGCAAATCTCCCCGAGGCCGCGAAATTCCTACACCGCCCGCCCAACGCTTTGCACCGCCAGCTCCGTACCCTTAGATTAGCCCGGAGGCCCAGGCTCTTGGCTAAGTTCTGCAGGTCACTGTACTTGAAGGAGTCCAGCTCCTCCAGGGAGGGGACGGTCATCGCGATCCGCAATCCAGTCGATCCGCAGAGGACGGACAACCGAATCTAAGCAGCACCGTTCAAAACTCTGGCGCCACTCTCAGCTTTGACCAAGTAGGACTTTATAGTCAGTTTAAATGAAGAACATTGCACTTCCATTGGATGAAAATGTCTGGAAGGCGGGGTCTCTGACCCCGTAAACCAATAGAAAGGCTGATTTCGCGCCTCAACTGTCGCCCGCTCGTCCCCACGCCTCACCAACACGCAGGCGCTGAAGGGCCTGTAAGGCGGTGGAGCCCACAGCCCATGATGTCCAATGAGGACCCAGGAACCGTGTTTGAGGCGGGGCCTGGTGCGGGTTCGAAACGGAGGCGCCTGTTGCTGGAAGATGGCGGCTCGGCCACAACGGCATCGCTCGCGCCGTGAAACGCTGCCTGAGGGTGACTTTAATGATGGAGCTAGGAGGGCAATTGACGAACCTTCTTTGACAACTTCCATGGAGTGGGACACGCAGGTAGTGAAGGGATCCTCGCCTCTAGGCCCCGCAAAGCTAGAGGCGGAGGAGCCTGCCACTGTCCCGCAGCTGCCGTGGTGGCTGGAGCCCGAGAGGTGCGCTGTGTTCCAGTGCGCCCAGTGCCACTCCGTGCTGGCCGACTCGGTGCACTTCGCCTGGGACCTGTCGCGGTCCCTTGGGGCCGTGGTCTTCTCCAGTGAGTTGGATGCGGCGTTTGGGAAAGGCGGGCCTGAGGGGGTGTTTCGGTTTTCTTCACTGGGTGGCTGAAAACCAGCTGGGGAAGAAAACGGGATGAAGATTTGTAAGGACATTAACCCCTTGACTTGGGGGGTAGGGGCGGGAAATGGGGGAGTCTTTTCTTGATTTTTCTTTTTTTTTAATGACCACGATGAGTCTGTCTAGGGGGGAGGATTTCTATTTCAAGGCCCGCAGAAGTACGGATTCTGACCCATGTTTGTCTTTCTAGGAGTCACAAATAACGTCCTTTTGGAAGCGCCCTTCCTGGTTGGCATTGAAGGTTCGCTCAAAGGGAGGTATGTATTGAGAATTCCCGATCGGTCTTTAGTTCCTGACCTAAGACTGAGGACCGTGGAACTGACGTGTGCGAGGAGAAAACAGTTTGTTCCTATGTTGTGCTAGAAGAAAAGGTTATTCCATTCCTACGGTATATTTGAAGGATAGGAGGCTGCTTTTACCTCTTTGACTTTTGTACAAACTTGATGTATTAATGAAATGGAAAAGTTATATTAATATTTGTGTTTAGGTTTTAAGATCTTTCTGAGGGTTACATCTCCCTAGTGGCATGTACAAGTGAAGTGAGGCTAAGAAAGGTATGTCTAGTAGTGGAAAAAAGAGAAAATATCCTTTTGGTTTATAGTGAGAATAACATACTATAAATTACAGTCCTGTGAGATACTGGGACTTCTAAGTTTGCATTTAATGTGGAGGTTGTAATAAGCTATGGCAAGTCTAATTCTTCTGTAACCCCAGAAACTGGGGAAAAACACAAGTTGAATGTTATGTACTTTAATACTGCCTTGTAAACTTTGCATCTTGCCAGTACTGTGATTTACAAGTGACAAAGTACTCAATGAGTTCGGAATTACAAGGCTCCTCAATTTTTTTTTTTTTTTTTTTTTTTT